CTGTCTAATGTCCTTTCATTTTAGACTGAAGGAATCTCTTTAGTGTTTCTTGTGGGTCAGGTCTGACAGTGATGAATTCTCTCCATTTTTGTTTATCTGGACATGTCTTAATTTTCCCTTCATTTTTCAAGGACAGTTTTGCTGGTTATAGATTTCTTTGTTGACAGGATTTTTTTCTTTCATCACTTTGAATATATCAACCCACTGCCTTTTGGCTTTCATGGTTTCTGATGAGAAATAAGCTGTCAATCTTACTGAGGATCCCTTTTCTATGATGATCATTGTTCTCTTGCTGCTTTCAAGATTCTCTTTTCATTTTCTGTTTGGCAATGTGGCTATGATATGCTTAGGTGTGGATCTCTTTGACTTTATCTTTTTTGGAGATTGTTGAGCTTCTTGGATGTGTGGATTAAAGTTTTTCTTTAAATTTGGGAAGGTTTTGGCCATTATCTCTTCATATATTTCTTCCGCTTTTTTCTCTCTCTTCTCCCCTCCTGGGGCCCACATTATGTGTATGTTGGAACACTTGATCATGTTCCAAAGGTCTCTGAGACTCTGTTCATTTATCTTCATGCTCTTTTCTTTCTTCCTTAGACTGAATAATTGCAACTGACCTATTCTCAAGTTTGCTGATTTTTTCTTCTGCCAGTTCAAATCGACTGCTGAGACCCTCTAGTGAATTTTTCATTTGAGTTATTGTACTTTATAGCTCCAGAATTTCTGTTCGGTTTTTTTTTTATACATTCTATGTTTTTATTGATATTCTCCATTTGGTGACATATAATTGTTGTGCCTTCCTTTAATTCTTTAGATGTGGCTTCCTTTAGTTCTTTGAACATATTTAAAATAGCTAATATAAAATCTTTGTCTAGCAAGTCCGTCTGGGCTTCCTCACAGGTAGTTACTATTGACTGCTTTTTTCCCTTTTTTATTGCCATACTTTCTTGTATCTTTGTGTGTCTCACAATTTTCTCTTAAAAATTGGCCATTTAAAATAATTTAAAGTGGCTACCATGGAAATTAGATCCTGCTCCTCCTTTTCAGGATTTGTTATTGTTACTCTTTGTTTGTTTAGTGGCTTTCCTGGACTAACTCTCTAAAGTGTGTATCCTTTGTCATGTGCAGCTATTGAATTCTCTGCTTGGTTAGCTTAATGGTGAGCCTAGACAGAGGTTTCCTTTAATGCTCTGATCCAATAAGTCTCCCACTCTGTGCCGAGGGGCTCTTTGTGTATGTTGGAGCACAACTTCAGTGTTCTGCCAGGTTACAACTCTGCTGTCACCTTCACTGCCTGCTGGAGCAGAGCAGGTCAGCTAGAGGTGAGGGACCGAGGTACTCCGCGGACATGCACGGAGCCCTGCACATGCATGTGCCTTCTAGATTCCCAGGATGTGCTGGAGCTTTTCAAAGCCCCTTTGGACAGCTCATCCCCTAGATTTTCATTTAAGTTTTTGAGTCAGCTTCTTGTTTGCTCCAGCTGGTATCACCACCACAGGCAGTTGTGATGTTAAATTATCGCTGCCGCGTGTTTTCAGCAAGCTCTCTGGAGATGGGGCTTTTCCCAGTGAGCGAGCCTGCATCCAGTCAAACAAAGACAAGTCCTGTGTGCATGCTTTTCTAGGGAGCTGGCAGACAGGTCAAACAGTGCCAACGCTCTGGGAAGGAACGTTCGGGAGCTTCAAGCCTGTTTTGCCTCCTCTAGCGGCTGCTACTTTTCACAGGTACTGTGGTAGCAAGGCTGATGGTTTTTTAAGGGTACCATGGGGCTGGGGAGATGGGCAAGCTAAAATGCTTCAAACCTCACTGTTTTTAGCAAGATTCATAAGTTTTTCTTGAATAAACGTTTCTTGGGTTGTTGCAAGTCTTTCATAAATTATTCAAGAAGTGTTTCTTCCACTGGACTTTTAGAAAGGGTGTCTTGGGGCCAGAGAGGATAGAAACACTTAGCACTGAGACTGCTAGTCTAAGGCTACAGTTGTGGAGACCCGGTGGGCGCCTCCGCTTGTCTCTGCAGGTTTGGCACAGGCACAGCCAAGCAGCATGCAAACGCTTCATCCTCGTCTCTTCCCACCTCCTAACGCTTCATCCTGCATTTGCCCACCAGTCTCTCTCTCCCTCCCTCCTCCCTTTGCTCCCCTCTTCCCATCAGCAAGCATTTATTGACCATCTCCTGATGGCCTGGGGGCCCAGCCCCCACCCTGAGAAGCCCATGCTCTGGTGGAGGAGAAGGACAAGTTTGTAGAGCAAGCCACCACAACCAAGTGCAGGAAATGCTGGGAGAGAGGGAGGTATCTGGGGCTGAGGGAGGTGAGGAGAGTGATGAACACTCTTGGGGAAAGAGGTGTCTAGAAGGAGAAAGGATCCTTTCCAAGGTCCCTAGCAAGAAGACCCCAGAGTGCAAGGGCAGTGCTAGGCTTCCCCAGCTGAGAGATGGGCCAGTGGGGAAGTGAGAAATCCATTCCATTACGATGGAGATGCATAAACACTGCAGGGCCATGGAGGCATCTTCCAGACAAAGGCTCCCACTAGGAGCTAGAGAGGACTCCTCCCCAAGGTAGGCAGGGTCAGCTCTGTCTGCAGGTCTGCAGTAGCCGCAGGAATGTATCTCAGCCAGATTACTGGCCCACAGGGCCAAAAGAGCCTTTCTCCCTGGGGCACAGGAGAAGCTCTTGTTTGTACAAGGGAAGGCGCCAGAGCCAGGATGTCCATGTGAGTGAAACTATCTCAAAATAAACACGAGGCCCAGCCAAAGCTAAGCAGAAAGGGACATCTGCTCTGTGCCGCTCACAGTTCTCTGACAGACAGAGAATCAGGACACCACTGGGAAAGGCAGAGAAGGGGAGGAGGTGCTGCCCACACCTTAGATAAGGCACTTCTCCTCGTGAAGCCTCAGTTTCCTTATCTGCAAAATGGGGATAATAACATATTCATCTGTTTGCAGGGCTCTGTGAGGCTCACAGGAGATGAAGGACTGAAAGGACCCAGCGCAGTGTTAGAGGCCCAGTAAGTCCTCGTCTTTCTTTGACTTTTAGATTGTTGTAAACTAGAGTCATAATTCTAATGAGTTTTTGAGTAAATTGAGTAATATTATATATTGTCCTAAAAAAAGTCAGTATGTATTCCTCATCCCCTTCTAAAAAGGATGTCAGGAGCTTACAATAAAAGGCAATAAAAGCTTTTACGAGGAAGAAATGAGAACTGAGTGGTGACGTGTGTATTTGGCGGGCTGGCGGTGCTGACGGTGGGGGGAGGGTGGGTGGTGGTGATTACACACAAAATCCATAGCAATCAAATACAAAACAGCCTTCAGCTTCTGGAAGTCAAAGCAAACAGAGAACCATAAAGGGCATTTCCTACCAGTGAACACGAGGGAGTTTATCCGCAAGCCATCTTTATAACGAACTAGAAGATGCAAGCACATAGCGGGCAAGAAGCCCATGCCCAGCACCAGGGAGAAGAGTCTGAGGTTCAGAGAGAAGCTGCCCCACTACCCCTGGGCCCAACTGGTCCGGGGTCCTGGTGGTGGGCCCCTCTGGCATCACCATCACACCCTTCTTGTGAAGTTGCTTAGGGGCTGAGCATGTGTGCATTCATTCATTCATTCATTCATCCACTGTTTTGTGCATTTACATTCCCGGAACCTGCTCTGTGCAATAGCCCCCAGCCAAAGAGGTTAGAGAAGGCTTTTTGGAGGAGATGCTTGAGCAAGACTTACAGGACAAAGTATAATGAACTTGGGGTAAGAGTCCAGGTAGAGGAGAAGGCATTCTGTGCAGGGGAGGATGTAAGAGTGCAGGCTCAGAGTGGGAAAGCCCTGGACCCCCACAGTGAGGCTGGAGGTGGGGGACACAGAGGGAGGAGTGGTGAGAGCGGAAGAGGCTGTGGCGGTGAGGACAGAGAAGGCGGCACGGGTCCAAGATGTACTGAGGAGGAGATGGACTGGGACTTGGTGTGGGAATGGGGAAGGGAGGGATCAAAGATGATGCCCAGGTGTCTGCACAGGGAAGCGGGTGGCCGAGGTCTCCTCCCTGCGACAGGGGGCTGGAGGAGAGGAGGTTGGGGGAGGTGCTGGGTTCAGTGGGGCAAGAATGTCATCAGAATCATGGGGGAGCCAGAGCCTCTGGGGTGGGACAGAGGAGAGAAGAGGGTCAAGGGCAGATTCATCTAAGAGGCAAGCAGGGTCCTATAGAAAAGGCAAAGAAGAAGGGGTCAGAGATGTGGGAGGAAACACAGGCCAGAGCTGAGCTGGGAATACTGGCGGGGGGAGGTCCAACAGTGTGGGTCACGGAAGATAAAGACAGCAACGCATCTGCGGCATAGCCATGAGGAGGTCAGCTGTGACTTTGGCCAAGAAGATGAAAGTGGGGTGACAGTGAAAAGAGACTGGAGGGGCTGGGATGAATGGAAGGCAAGGTGGAGGAGCTGGAGCAAGGGTTGGGGTGTGTGGACGCCTCTTAGGGAAGCTTCACTGAGAGTCGGGGGGAAGTGGATGTGCAGAGTGAGTGCATTGTGTGTGAGATGCAGATGGCGGGAGGGAGACTGGCGGTGACTCTAGGTGAGTCTGCAGGTCGTATGGAAGGAAGGTGAAGAGTCTCCTCCTGGTGGCTCTGCCAAGGGAAGGACAGGCCAAGTCTGGGCACACACAGGAGAACCATCGTGTTGTGTTGAGGAACCCATGGTAGAGACTGTGGGCTGGTGGAATCACCATCAATTCCCACAAAGAGAGGAGGCCGTTTCGGAGTGGGAGACTAGAGACTTAGGCTGATAATGAGATTCAAGGAGTGGCCAAGGGCACAGAGGGCACTGTCACTGGAATTGTGGATGTCAGGAAGCACTGCGGCCCTGGGGACGGTGGCTGGAAGTGGAAGGGAGAGAAGACTGGCTGGGTTCGAGGGTCCTGAGTTATGGGATGGTACCGGGATTGGCACCTCCAGCCAGGTCCCAGGTCAAGGGCAGACTTCCAGGCCTAGGTTTAGGAACTGAGAGAACCTGGGACTCACCGGGATCGCCTCTTCTTCCAGGCTTGCCACGCCGTCCAGGGGGGCCTAGACAGGAAAACAAGGACACACTTGTTGAGAAGGGAAGCCAGTGGGCTTGGGCACAGCCTGCCTGCTGCCGGCCCACCCGCCCACTCCGGAGTAGCTCCTGGGGGCAGCCTGCCCATCACCTGCTGGCTGGAGGAGGGGAGAGGAGTGGGGAGAAACCAGGTCTCCTGCCCTCCCTCGCCCCTGCTCCCCTGGATGCTCTCTGTTGGCTGCTCCCTGTTGGCTGCATTGTCACCCCTCACTCAGTTACTCAATTATCTGTTCATTCACTAGTGCTTCCCCAGTCAAAAAGATTCACTACCTGGAATCTCTTGAAGCAGAAGAGTTTGCAGCTGAGAAACTTTAGACTTAGCAGAAAAATAAGGCTGAGGGTGGGAGTTATCTTATGAAAGCCCTGACAAATGGTTTTTAATAGTCACTGAACTAAAACAGCAGAGACAACACACCACATAAAGGCACTGTGACGGCATTTCAAAGGCACCGTCCTGTCCATCTACCGTCCTACCTTCCTTGCTAGACCTTTGGTACCTCCCTACCCCACAGCTCGAGGGAGGCGCTTAGAAGTGTCTCATGATTTACTGCAGATGATGGGCCCGCCAACGCACAGTCTTTTCAGTATCTAGTCCTCCGTCCGCATGTTTTAAGCCTTTCTGAATTTATGATGCAGACCATCCTGGCTGGCCTTCTCCCCGTCCGCCCATGTCGGGCCCCGAGACCCGAGTGACCGCGATGCCGAAGGAGAGGGCTCTGGGTAACGAACGCCGTCCAGCCCTCTGCCCCGAGCCCGAGGTCCGGCCTTCGGTCCGCCCCGCGCCCAGCGCCCAGCTCAGCTCGCCCCGGGGGTGGAGGGCTGAGGCCGGCCAGCGCTCCCTCGTCCCCGTCCTCGCGCCCGTGGCCTCGCCTCGCGCTCCCTGCAAACATCCCTGAGCCCCTTCGTCTCCGCTCAGCCCGTTTTCACTGCTTCTTAGGTGAGCTACCCCCGCTTCTTCCTTCCTTGTCTCAGGGGCCAGAGGAAAAGGTATGCGCAGTGAGGCTGTGTGTACTAGACTGCAACTGTAGACAGCACTTTATACCCCTCTCTCTCGTGCCCACCCACTGCATGCCGGGATCCGGGCTGGGCCCGCAGGCAGAAGAGCGGCAGGCTGGGGCCGCCAGGTGGCGCAAGCGTTACAGTGCGCGCGCTCCGCTGCGGCAGCCTGGGGTTCCCCGGTTCGGATCCCCGGCGCGCACGTACGCACCGCTTGTCAGACCATGCTGTGGCGGTGTCGCATATAAAGGGGAGGAAGATGGGCACGGACGTTTCCTCAGCAAAAAAAGAGGAGGATTGGGGGATGTTAGCACAGGGCTGATCTCCTCACACACACAAAAAAGAAGAACCACAGGCTATGACTATTACAAGGCACTGCTCTTTTCCGTAAAAGTTCACCTTAAAACCCCTCAAAAATTCCCAGAACAACCAGAGAGGAGAGGCAGAGACTGGCCAGGACTCAGGTCTGAGGCAGGCTGGTTTACTGAAAACCTTGTGTGGGTTTCCCTCTTTCCTTCTTGTTTTCCAGCAGGTGGTCAGGCCCATTTGTGCGCCCCTGGCCCAGGACTGGGAGAGGGCAGAAAAGCAGAGGCGGCCCCGGGTGAGCGGTGCTTTTTGTTGAGGGGGAGTCCTGGATGGAGAGGAGGAAGAGCCTCTGAGAAAAAGAGAGAGGAGACATTCGTCAGCATGGGGAGGGAGCCCCTCAGTGCTATGTTAGGCTTGAGACCCGGAAACCTCTGCAAGCCTGAGGAGGAGGTGATGAGGAATTTCAGCCTTGTGGACTGGGGGCGTGAGGTCAAGATGGTTACACAAAATTTAAAAATGAGAAACATGCTATTTCTTGCATTCCTGAATTTGTAATTAAAAATTTTTTTTTCTGTGGTCAAAAACACATAAAATTTACCATCTTAGCCATTTTTAAGTGTTCAGTGCGGTAATGTTAACTACATGCACGTGGTTGTGCAACAGTTCTCTAGAGCTTTCTCATCTCGCAAATCTGAGACTCTGTATCCATCGAACAGCTCTCCCTCCCCCTGCCCAGCCCCAGGCAACCACCATTCTACTTTCTGTCTCTACAAGTTGCCTATTTTGGATATCACATAAGTAGAATCACACAGGATTTGTCTTTTTGTGACTGGCTTGTTTCCCTTAGCATAATGTCCTCAAAGTTCATCCGTGTTGTAGAATGTGACAGTTTCCTTCTTTTTTAAGGCTGAATAACAGGCCATTGTATGTATATACCACATTTTCTTCATCCACAAGCAGTATTGCTGGATCATATGGTAGTTCTATTTTTAATTTTTTGAGGAAGCATCATACTGTTTTCTATAGTGTCTATACCATTTTACATTCCCACCAACAGTGCACAAAGGTTTCAATTTCTCCACTTCCTTCCCAACACTTTTTATTTTCTGTTTTTTTGATAGTGTCCATCCTAATGGGTATGAGGTTATATCTCATTGTGATTTTGATTTGCATTTCCTTAATAATTAGTGATGTTGAGCATCTTTTCATATACCTGTTGGCCATTTGTACATCTTCTTTGGAGAAATGTCTATTCAAGTACTTTGCCCATTTTTAATTGGATTTTTGTTGTTGTTGAGTTGTAGGAGTTCTTTATATATTCTAGATATTAACTCCTTATCAGATATATGGCTTGCAAATATTTTCTCCCATTCTGTAGGTTGCCTTTTCACTCTGTTGTTTCCTTTGCTGCACAGAAGTTAAGTTTGATGTAGTCCAATTTGTCTATCTTTGCTTTCGTTGCCTTTTAACCTTTGCCTTAATTTTTGTATGTGGCATAAGGTAAGGGTCCCACTTCATTCTTTTGCATGTGGATCTCCAGTCTTTCCAGCACCACTTGTTGAAGAGACTGTCTTTTCCTCCTGTGCAGCCTTGGCGCCCTGGTTGAAGATCATGTGACCATGTAAGTGATGCAGCCCTGAGTCCGAGAGTGAAATCCACGCCAGTTACACAGCCCTTGACTTTTCCCGACACCAGACACAGACCTTGAGCTTCGTGCTGGCATCGCCTGGGGCTATGCTGACTTGGTAAGGCCAAGATTCTGACCCTGTAACAGACAACAGCTCCTCACACTGGTGAGGGATTTACAAACTATGAAGCGCCTCCAGGTCCACGATCTCAGCTGAGGCCCGCAACACCCACACTGCTTGGCCAATGGTCAACCTGACATCTCCACCTGGGTGTCCCACCAGCATCAGGCCGGTCATGGCCAAAACATACGTCCTGATCTCCTTTCCGGCTCCTGTGTGGGGCACTGTCAGCCTGGAAACCTTGTGGCTGCCTGGTGTTAGGCCTTTTCTCCTCTCTGGGCACATCTGTTTTTAGGGTGAGTGAGGGTGTGGGAACAGGAACCCCATTGGCACACGTAGCATCACACTCCTCTGGTTGTAGGAGGAAAAAGGCCCAGCTTTCACTCATAAGGCCCAGCGAGCCAGTCCCTGGCTTGTCTCAGGCCCCAGGCTGAGGTGTGAGATATGGCAGGAGAGGCCCATGCGTGGGAGAGTCAGCCAGGCTCTTCCTGGATCTGAAAGCACCATGGTTTTCTGATGGCCATTACTGGGTATGACTATAAAATTCTCCATCTGCTTAACTCAAGCCAGATGAAGACATGTGCCTTCACTGAGGTAGCGGAACTGATGGATTTGTCTGGGTGGTTCTCCTGGGTGGCATGGTTAGGCAGAAGGCCCAGTGAGGAGGGAGCCAGGGTGTCACTGAGCGCCCAGGGCCTGAGGGGCTGTAGGCCTGGCAGACTGGACAGGACTCCCAACTGAAAGGGCGTAAGTGGAGACAGAGAATGAGGCTACTGCTCATGAGCCCTCTCCAGGGCCAATTCAAACCAGATCTTGGAGGCTTCTGTGTGAACAGCTCACAAACTGACAACTGATCAACTCTTTATTCCGAGATTCAACGTGTCCCAACCGAAACTCATCTCTCAATTCCCCCCGTGCTTCCCCACAGGGTTCCCTTCTCACGTAAGTGCAGGCACCACCAGTACTCACGTAGCCTAGCCATAAACCACTTGGGAGTTGTCCTGTCGCATCCTCCTGGCCCCCAGACTCCTTCCTCCTCCGCATCAGGCGCACGCTTCCCCAAGCCCAGTCTCTCCTCTACCATCCACATTTTCTTCCATGCCTGATTTCTCCCCCTCCTAACAGAAGGTAGTTCGCTGAAGTGTGTGGTCTGCATCTCATGCAGCTCTGTGTCCCCAACTCCTGGCATGGGGCAGGACCCAGTGACATTTGTTGAGAGAAGGAAGAAGGAGGGAGAGAATGGATGGGTAAGGAAGCCTAAGGTCCCTCTTCACCATTTCCTGGCATTCTCTTTAAAAGACTGTCAAATCTAACAAGATCCACGGCTTAAAAGAGACACAGGACTACTATATGATCCAGCTATGTCACTTCTGGGTGTTTATCCAAAGAACACTCATTCAAAAAGATATTTGAATGCACTCCGATGTTCATTGCAGCATTATTCACAAGAGCCAAGACTTGGAAACAACTTCAGTGCCCACCAACGGATGAATGGATAAAGAAGATGTGATGTATATATACAACGGAATACTACTCAGCTGTATAAAAAGACGAAATCTTGCCATTTGCGACAACATGGATGGACTTTGAGGATATTATGCTAAGTGAAATAAGTCAGATGGAAAAAGACAAATAATGTATGATTTCACTCATATGTAGAAGATAAAAACAAACCAACACATAGACACAGAGAACAGATTGGTGGTTACCAGAGGGGACGAGGGATGGGGGAGGGTAAAAGGGCACACGTGTACGATGACAGATGGTAATTAGACTTTGGGTGGTAAACACGATGTAGTCTACACAGATATTGAAATATAATGATGTACACCTGAAACTTATATAATGTTATAAACCAATGTTACCTCAATAAAAAAAAAAAGACCGTCAAATATAACAAGATCCACAGCTTAGAAGAGAGGCAGGACTACGTGGTTTGATGGGCACAAGCCGTTGAGACAGGGGGTGCATTCTGCCCTGCTTCCTCCCCCACAAGGAAGGCAGAGGTTGCGAGGCCTGCTATGCTTGGCCAAACAGAGGCCCTGGGGGAGGGGAAATGCCAGAGCTGAGTTCCACGCTGACTGCTGGGCTCCCAGTCTGCTGCTTTTGCAAACGGAGAGGTCAATCACATGTGAGGCCTGGATTGTAGAACTTGCATGGGGAATGCGGGAAGGACAGCCCTCCATGAGTTTCTAGACTATCAGGTGCTAAGGGTCAGCCATGGGCAGCAAGCTTGGTTTAGCATCTCCTGGGCACCCGGCCGGCTTCTCATCCAGCGAACATGAACTCGGGACTCTCTGTGCTCCAGGTCACCTGCTGCTCATCCAAAGAGCTCATCTATTCCCCTTACAGCCCTTTGAAGAAGGCGCTGGTATCCCCTGTACGGAGGAGAGCTCTGAAGCTAAGCGAGGTGAAAAGACTTGCCTAAGGCACATAGCCGCTAACTTGGGGAGCCTTTTATGATCAGTTTGTGGTTCTGAAGGTGCAAAGACAGTTGTGCCCAACATGCTGAACCCCTGGGCAGGCAGCCTTGACGACAGGAGAGGTGGTGCCCCTGGGGCAAGCAGCAGAGCAGACTGGGGCTGCGACCTCTGCCTCCACCTAGGCTGGCTCTGCCCCTGGGCATGGGGGCTAGGCCTGCAGCAGATTGCCCGCACCTTCCAGGAATAGCCGGGCCGGCTGGCTGCAGCTGAGATGTTCTCCTAACAAGCAAAACCAGGCCCCCGGCCCAGCGGTTCGCCCCAGAGCTTTCTCCTTGCTGGTTTTCTTTTCCTTCCTTTCTGCAGTGGAAGACTGTCTCCCACCACCGGCACAGACTCAGAAACTCAGCCTGCCCTGGAAGGCAGCTGGGAGTCTGTCTTGATCGACCTGCTCATGTATAGATGGGGAAACTCAGGCTGTGAGGGAGAGGACAGGTCTTGCCCAAGGATGCTGCTGGAAAAACCGTCCCAGCTGCAGAGTCTGTGGGTATTGAAGACCAGCTTGGCCATTCTCCCACTGCCGTGTGGGATCCACATGGCTCTGGGTCGGGGGCTGGCAGCTGTGGGGACCCCAGTGTGTCACAGCAGGTGCTGCCATAGTGGCATCTGTGAAGCTTCCTTCCAGGGGCCGTGGGCAACAGATACCAACAAGGGGATGCTGGCACAGGAGGGGAAAAGACGTGACATTGATATGGAAGCTGTTTACCCTGAGCAAGTGATTCAACCTCTCTGAGCCTTGGCTTCCCAACCCACGGGGATGAAAGTTCAGGGGTGGAGGCAGCTTCACCTGCCTTGCAGAGCTGTTAAACAGACGAGCTGGCAGCAGACACAGCACCTTGAGGGCACAAAAGAGGGGCCTATTTGGGACCCCAGAAGATAACTGGCTGGAGGGGCCTCTGGCTCATCAGAATCTGGAGCCCTGATGTAAACAGGTTCTCGTGTGTCCCCTAAGGTGGCAAAGCCTGAGGCAGTGGCTACACTGCAGCAACTCTGTGGGCAGGGCTGGAGTCCAGATGCTGAGCGAGCCTCAACTACATGCTGGCCTTGAGCCCACAAGGGCAAGGCCACTCTGGGGCTTTTCCATGTCCCTAATCACTGTCTGTCTGTGGACCTGGGAATCAGGGTGCAGAGGCTGAGTGGTCTGGGAATGGGATTTCTCAAAGAAGTCCTGAGGTTTCAGCACAGCATGGGCGGGCGAGGGCCCCAGCTTGCTGCTAACTGCTCAGGATGCCCATGACAACCGCCTGCTCACGAGATGACTCCAGGAGGATGGTGTTCTCAAGCATGGTTCAAAGCCACATAAAATGGAACCATTTCTAATTCATAAAAATCTCATCTCTAGTTGGGCTGGAGAACTCGCACCGCTGACCAACCATGGAGTGGGGGCCCCGAACCCCAGCAGGCTCCGTCAGACCCCTCCTCTGGCAATGCCTGCCTTATTGCTGCCCTCTTACAAGCCTGGGGCCACCCTGCCCCAGCTGGGCTGTGTAGGGGACAGCCTGACCAGGCCCCTCCCTCTCCCTCTTCCCCTGGGCTCTGGCCAGTCATTCAGCCCTTGGCCCTGCCCCCACTTCTCCCTTCTGCCAGCCCTAAGGGCAGGGGCTTTTGGGCAATTTATACACAGTTTGAACTTATACACAGTTCTGGAAAGTGCTTTAATCCCTCTCTACTCTTTTCTCCCTAAAGATTGGAGAAACTGAGGCTCAAGGAAGTCAAGAAATGCTCCCAGACACAACAGACAAAAGGCGGAAGCAACCCAAATGTCCATCGATGGGTGAATGGATAAGCAAAATGAGGTATATACACACGCTGGAACATTCTTCAGCCTTAAAAAAGGACAGGCTGGGGCCAGCCCAGTGGCATAGTGGTTAAGTTTGCTCATTCCACTTTAGTGGCCTGGGGTTTGTGGGTTTGGATCCTGGGTGCGGACCTACGCATTGCTCATCAAGCCATGCTGTGGCGGTGTCCCACATACAAAATAGAAAAAGATGGGCACAGATGTTAGTTCAGCAACAATCTTCCTGAAGCAAAAAAAGAGGAAGATTGGCAACAGATGTTAGCTCAGGGCTAGTCTTCCTCACACACACACAAAAAAGAAGGACATTCTGACACATGCTACAACATGGATGAATCTTGAGGACATTATGCTAAGTGAAATAGTCCGGTGAATAAATGTGAATATATCACACAAAAGGACAAATACTGTATGATTCTACTTATATGGGGTCCCTAGCATAGTCAGATTCATAGTGACAGACAGTAGCAGAATAGTGGTTGCCAGGGGCTAGGGGGAGAGGGGATGGGAGGCTGTTGTTTAATGGGTATAGAGTTTCAGTTTTGCAAGATGGAAAGAGTTCTGGAGATAGATGATGGTGATGGTTGCATAACAGTGTGAATGTACTGAAAAATGGTTAAAATGGTAAATTTTAAGTTAGGTGTATTTTACCATAATTAAAAAAAAAGAAAAGAAATGCTCCCAGGGTTCCCAGCTACAAGGGCCAGAGCGAGACTGTGGACTCAGGTCGGCTTGACGGAGACCACGGTGATGCTGTTGGCAGTGCTGCTAATGACCACAGCTGAGTGTCTCCTGAGAGCCTGGCACTGTGTAGTCACAGAGGACAGAGGCGTCCCCAAGGTCACGCAGTGTGGAGATGGTAGAACCAGGAATCGAACCCAGGTCTGTGTGACTCCAGGGCT